TCAGTTCTCTAGGACAAGGGCCCCAACACCAAGCTCTATCCCTGTCCCTGGACTTACCACTTCATCCTCCTCGTCCTCAAGGAGCTCACTGTCACTCTCTTCCATCCTCATGCCTATTCCACGGGTGCCCAAGCCCTCATCTCCAGCTCCGAGGAAGAAGTGGGCCGTAGTGCTCGCGTCCTCATTGGCCGTCAGTGACCACATCCCCGCCGGAACACCCACTCATCCCGCTCTGCAGAAGTGGGCACCCCATCAGCTTAGAATCCAGCACCCTTACAGTGGGTAGGGGACGGGGTACAGGGAACTAGACAATGAGAGGGAACTACACGGGTACAAAGGAAACAGAAACAAGCTATGGAAAGAACCAATAAGAAAGGAAACTGTACTACGAGTTGGCGTGCCTAAAGAGACGTAAGAGCAAAGCAAGGACTCTCTTTCTTCCCGGTTTCCCCCACCCCGGCCAAGAACTGGTAAGAGGATCAGGAGATTAAGCCTTACAGTGCTGGCATGTCCCTGATTCTGCCAGCAGGAAACAATGTTAACTCCAGGCAGCAAATAGAAGAGGCAGTTCTTCAAGGAAGGCTACTGTTGATTCCTACCAAGAGAAGGTCAGAGTGACGTTTATTTCAAACTCTGGATTCATTCCACATCCTTCCCAGCTCTCTCCCCCTCCCCACGGCACTGCTAGAGTTGACGGCAGAGGGATGCTACAACTCCAAAGCTCTGCTTTTAAACTCCACCCTCATTACTACCTGTATTAGCTCAAGAAACATGTGTTGAGGACACCCTCCACTCTAAGCATGGTCTAGGGACATTACTTTCTCCTTCACCCACACCACCTTATAAAACAGATATCCAAATCCAGAGAATCAGTTCAAGGAAAGAAGTCTGGTGCTGGTTGGGAGGCTGAGACTGTAAACGTTCACACAGCAGTTCTCAATCCATTCTCAAACTGCAATCCCAGTGATCCATCCACTGTCCTTTAGTACTATGAGACCAATGCTGGTCTAGGACAAGGTCCTTTATAGCAGCAGCTACACTGGAAAAAATCCTAACTAAGGCCATATTGGTAAGACTACCTTATGAGTTTGGATCAGAACAAGCTGGCAGTTCCACTTCTGTGTGCATATGCCTAGAGTGTTAGCAGAAACTCTAGTGATTTTGCAGTACCAGAGAGAGATCTGTCAGGGGACATGCCTGGTTACTAGAACTTGGAAAGGTGCTATACTAGTTTCTAGTGAGCAGACGTCAGGAACGCCATGAGAAATTCTAAGATGTATATGCTATCTCAAGATCTACTCAGTCCTAACTGTTAGCAGCCCCGAGGTAGACAGATGGTTATGGCAAGACTCTCACACACTTGTGAACACACACAAAGACATTCTTCCCTTCTCCAGCTCATTGTTGCCTAGGGAAAAACTAAGAACAATTCAGATGCCATAAGAAGAATGGTAAACCATGATGCCGTATATAGAAAAGAAAGACAAAATACCAGATTTTAAAGATGAACGAGGGCCAGCAAGATGATTCGAATGGAGGCCCTTGGTGCCGAGCCTAACCATCTTGGACCCTAGGACCTACCTGGTGGAGGAAGAGGACTGACTTCCACAAGTTATCCTCTGACCTCCACATGTGCTACAGGTCCATAAACATACACACTAAACATGTAAGCTACATACAACAGTTTCCAACCACAAAACGTCAGGGTGAACACAGAGCACAGTCTATGTGCATAAATAAACATCACGAGCTATTTATGACTGCACATGCAATTAGTTCAAGTCTGTCGTTGGTTTGTTTTTCTTGTTGTTTTTAAGCATGACTTTTATATGTATGGGTGTTCTACCTGGAGGTATCTCTGTACAGACTTATGCTAGGAACAGAACCCAGGTCCTCTGAAAGAACAACCAGGGATCTTATTCACTAAGCCATCTTTCCAGCCCCCAGTTAGTAGACTGAATCTGGGTGTGGTGGTGCATGCCTTCAATACCTGAACTTGGGAGGTAAAAGCAGGGAGATCTCTGTGAATTCAGGGCTATCCTGGTCTACATTGTGAGGTCCAGGCCAGCCAGGACTACACAGTGAGACCTGTCCCCAAAACAAAACAAAATACATAATTTTAAAAGTGGTACATAATTTTAAAAATGGACTGAAAAGACACCAAATCTGTAACAGTAGTTACATTTGAAGAAAAAAAGAGAATGATGTTAAGTTTCCAATGATGCCTATACAACCTTGCCTATAAATAAATGTCTATTTTCAAAACTCAAAAAGATTGGAAGCTAATACAAGCAAGGCTAATATTTGCTAATAATGAATTGTAAGGGTATGAGCAACTATTGTTATTTTCCAAAAATAAAATGGAGTCACTCAACAGAAATTTTCCATGTTCGATAGTTCTCAGAAACACTGTCAACCCTAATGAAGCCAGGAACTCCTTGAGTAAATTAGTTAACTTACTCTTACAGAGTTTTAAAGTCTTCAATAATTCCGCTCTCTATTTTAATTTAAGACTCTCCCATTACAACTAGGGTTGCAGCTTTGATTAGAAAATTATAGATGACCTTTATATAGACCTTAGCGGCCTCAGTCTTGATCATCTGATGCCTCGATTGCTCAACCACAAGACAGAACATTCTTCTCCTTGACGTCTCCTGTTATGCACTGCGGTTCGCACACACGCACGCCTCCTGACTGACAGACCATTCCTTTGCATTCCCTTTTAGTGACCTAACCGTGGCATTCCCAAAGATATCTCACAACTTCAGAGCTTCATCACACTCTTTGTGCCTTTTCTGAAACGGGAGCCCTCCCTGTGTCGAGGATTCCTTCACCAGCTGCCCTTTCCTGAAGTCTTCCCCGCTTTTTTTCTTTTCTTTTCTTTTTTTTTTAAAAACAACATCCAGCCGTGTTCTTGGAATTCTACTACAGCCCTGGGATGGGAGAAAATAGGATGGAGACGTCTGCTCACAAACACCGACTGAAAGGAGATGAGGCTCCAGATTCATAGTTAACAAAGCAAACACAGAAAGAAGCCTGGCGGGGACAGCCAGGACACAGCCAAGGGCTTATTTGGATGTACTTCTGGGAGAAGCTGGGGTTCCAATGTGGTGTTTCCAAAACCACGCTCCTGTCCTCTGTGCTCTTTCCTCTTCTTCTTCTCCCCGACCTTTGTTGCCTAAGAAAACGGCAGATCCTGCACCGGGGCAAAGGGCAGGCTGACTATGGAGGGAGGGAAGGGGTGGAGGGAACAAGGAGACGATCTAGGGGGCACCTGTGCTAAATTAGATCTGGAGTCGGGTTAGAGCAACCGTGGGCTGGAACTTCTTTAGCTCTTAGAGTTGAGGGCAGTTGGCATGGACCTCCAATTTCTTGTCATCACCTTGCATTTGATAGAGGATCCAACAACAGCAAAGGAAACCAACACAGGAACTCCTCACACCACCACCACTACTGACTTTTCCCACCTTCAAAAGGGAGCCCCGCCCCCCCCAACCTCCCGTTGTTTTGAGGCAATGTCTGCCTGTGTAGCTCAGGCTGGCCTCAAACTCATTGTAATCCCCCTCTCTCCGTCTCCCAAGTGTTGGGATTACAGGCGAGAGCCGCTCTGCCTGCTTCCCACTTCCTTCCTAAGTAAGGCAAGTTTAATGTTTCCGACATATTCCTTATTCTGACACCAGTCAACCATCTGCTGCCTGTTCTCAGAGTCAGCTCACTCCTCCTGCCTTCTCTCCCCAATCTGTGATAAGGGCTCTTCACCGACTCCCCTAACCTTACTCCCCACGTGCCTGCTGCACCCCAATCACTGATCAATCGATGCAACGAATCCAGCCAATTCTCCCACTCAGTGACTCCCAGAAGTAAACAACACTCCAAACCTGCACATGAGTCATCACACTTGCTAACACTTTTTTTTTTTTTTTTTTTGGAGACAGACTCTATGTAGCCAAGGATAGCCTTGAACTCAGGATCCGCCTGCCTCAGCCTCTAGGGTACACTGGGTTGCATCTTTCCGTTAATGATGAACACTTAGTGACCCCCCCCCCCCCGCTTCAACGAGGATCCCCTATAACGAGGTTCCTTCCTCACACTAGCCCTGCTGGAGGTTCACCTCTCCACAGGAACCCGCTCCTCAGCAGACCCTCTCCCCTGGCCAGCCAGCCCCTCTCCTCACTCCGCCAGCACCCAGCGCCCTCTGGTCCTCCCTCGGCTTCTCGCGCACGACCCTCCACCTCGGTCCCCTCCCCTGAAACCCAGCCCCGGCCCTCCTCCCAGAGTCCCCAGCCCTGTCCCTGAAAGCCTTCCATCTTCCCGGGGGGAGGGGGGGGTCCCCTTAGTCCTCCCGCAGACCCCTCCACACCAATCTCTTCTCCCACTGACCCGCTCGGCCGTCCTCTCTCTCAGCGTCGGGTCACGAATCCCGCCCTCCCATCCTGACCACACTCGCCTCTGCCCGCCCCCGCCGTCCCCGCCTCGCTCTCCCTACGCTGACATTGAGGCCTCCCCCGCCGCGCCTCCCTCCGAAGCGGTCCCCGCCCGGGACGGCCCACGGCCCCCGGGCGCAGGGAGAGCCCCCGGCCGAGCCCACCCTCCCGGATACCGCCCCCAGCCCCAGCCACTCCCCCACCGCCCCCGGCCCGCACTCACCCGCCTCCCTCCGCTCGCGCAGCCGAACCTGCCGGCAGCGACACCTGACAGCGGCCCAATCAAAGCGCGACTTCTTTGCCGTCCCGCCAATCGGCGGAGGGCGCGCACCGGCAACAGTCAGGCTGCGTTGGCCGGAGCTTCGGCGTGGCGGAGGGTGGCTCCTAGTGGCTGCCTCGGGAAGTGCAACCCGATGCTCCGCTGCCTCTTGATTTCCTCCTGCGTCGCCAGCCCACAGCCCAGACGGAGGGGCTAACCGGTGACCCCAATGGAGGAAGAAATGAGATACGCGAAGGAGAGGCAAAGCTTGTGACATTGCACCGCCCCGAGGGCAAAAACCGAGTCTTGCCTTTTTTTTTTTTTTTTTTTTTCTCTGTAAAGCAAATCCAGGTGTGATAGAGGTAGACAGAAGGCCAGAAGGCGGAAAGGGAAGAGGTAGGGACGCGGGAGACAAACAGAAGCAGATGGGTAAAGTGAAGGGGAGGAACAAAGACTGATTTATGAAAGATGCAAGAAAACGGTGGACGTGGAAAACTGAATAAACTGATTACTGTCTCCACACTCTGCTTCTTCTCTGGTCTCCAGCCTTGGAATCTGAAAAGCTGGGTTTGAATCTTGCTCTTGATCGTGTAGCTTTGGGAAAGTCACTTTACTTCCTGGAGCCTCGACTGTGCTTATTTGTAAGGACGGAACTCAACACCAGATTTACACGGTGCTGCTGCGTGTGACAAAATACTTAAGAAAAGCAGTCCGTGGGGAAAGAGATTGATTTTGGCTCAGGGGTTCAGAAGTTTTGATCCTTAGCTCCATTGCTTTGGCCGTGAGGAAAGGCAGAACGCAATGGTGGCTGGGTAAAGGGTATTTGCTTGTTGGCTCATAGAAAGCAGAGCGGGAGGAAGGGGCAGAGGACAAGATGCATTGTCCAAGGTATGCCACAGGGACATATTTTCTCCAACTAGGCCCCACACCCTCTCTTTCACCATGTTCCAATAATGTCATCACATTATGAATCCATTGATTAGATCGAAGCCCTCAGAATCCAATCACTTCACAAAAGTCCATCAGCTGGTAAGCAAGCTCCACTACAGGAGCCTGTAAAGGGCATTTCTTATTTAAACAGAGCAGATATGCTCATATGAAACATTTTCTTGTACGTATATTAGTGCTGTGCTTGAGTCTTCATTTAGGCTTCCCTGGTCAGGAGTTTGAAATTCTCCATTTGTTCTCTGTAGCTTTAGGGACCTCACAGTTTTCCTAGTTAGATGCCTTAGCTTACTGACCACCACTAACCCCCAAGGCCTCGTGAATGGATAAAGATGATTCTAAGGACAGAATCTACAAATAATCAACCATAGTTAATGCTCAGACTCATCCCTCCTCTACAATTCCAGCCATTAGAACAAGTAATCACAGCATCTCCCAAGTGTAAAACTTCTCCATTGATACCATTGAAAATAGACTCTCTGATCCTGGTCGTATGTTAGAATGATCTAATTCTCAATGAAAAAATATACATATATAAAGGTTCCTTGTAATTGCAGGCATTTTTGTGGGGTTGTGTGTGTGTGTGTTGTTTGTTTGTTTGGTTGGTTTTTGAGACAGGGTTTCTCTGTGTAGTCCTGTCTATCCTGGAACTCACTCTGTAGACCAGGCTGGCCTCAAACTCATGGAGATCCGCCTGCCTCTGCCTTCCTAGTGCTGGGACTAAAGGCATGCACCACCACTGCCCAGCGGGTTCCTTGTAATTGTAAAGTGCTTTAAAGCATTAAATATTAGCAATAATAATTATTAAATAAAGTACTATAGATGTATATATAGAGAGATATAGATAGACAACTTCCCATAGGCAAGAGAATAATTTTCTGCATGTGTGTGGGTGTTTCGCCTGCATGTTTGTGTACCATGTGTATACCTGGTGCCCGAAGAACAGAAGAGAGCGTCAGATCCCCTGCAACTGGAGTTATCGACAGTTGTCAGCCACCATGTGGTTGCTGGGAATTGAACTAAGCCCTCTGAAAGAGCAGCCACTGAGCCATCCCTCCAGTCCCATAAGGTAATTTTTTAAAATGACTAACAACACATCACATGCCTGTCAGAGGCTCACGAAGAACAAGAAAAGTACACAAATATATGAATCTTCTCGACAGAGCTGTTATTTCATGTAGGAAGGCATTTTCCAAACTTAAATAACTTCTCTACTCTAGCTGGCTTTATTCTCTTCTGTTATTCTCCCTTCCCACCCCCTATCTCCTGAACACCTTCTCAGCCAAATAACAGCCCCATTGCTCTGTAAGATTATCTCCTTCTTTTATCTGGGTAAATACACACCATCCCAAGTAATTACATTTACTTACTCATAACTACTCCTTCACCTAGATAATGAACACCCACAGCGGAGGTAACATTTTTTTGTCTCCAAAAGTGAGCAAGCTCCAACAGAAGATTCCAATCTATTCTCTGAGAATTGTATTTTATCAAGAGAAGGGGGTTAAGTAATGGACCAAAAAAAGAAATGTGTAGCTTCTAAGGATACCCACAAATAAGGAAGGTAAAAAAGTAGCCATGGGGGAGGGGGGCTTGAGGGTAATAAGGGAATGTGTATTTGTGGGGCCAGTGGGGGTTGTGAAGGGCAAGTCTTCTTTCCAAACATTCTTAAGATTTCCAAATATCTTACTGTCTTCTGGAACATCAGGAAGCTAAAGGAAGCTATATTAATGTCAATATGTCTGCTCTGCCTTGGCTGGCCCCCCACACCAAAGCCTCGGATCCCTGTCTCAACTCCAGTTTTCATTCTCTTTCCTGCTATAATAAAAGTCAAGTAGCACCTAGTCCTGCTTGTAGCTGTGGAAACAAACCCTCTTGAGTCTGAACGTGCACTTCACCCAAGAGAGAGAGGACCAGGAAGAAGGCAGAGATTCCCTGATAACCTTATGCCCTTGGACACCGCCAGCCTTTCCACTCCAGATTAAACTGTGTTAGAGAGCCAAGAGAGAAACCCATGTGGTTCGGGAGACCTGTGCGTGCCTGTTCCATTCCACACCCAATCATCTCACCACGCCCTTCTCCTCTCTTTATATTCCCCTCCAGTCCAGGAACTGCCAGCTGCTGAGAAGGGAGAGAAGGAAGAAGAGACTCACCGTTCCCTGCCCAGCCCCAGCCCCACACCCAGAGCAATCAACAGGTAGGCAAGCTTCAGACACTATTCAGGAGTCCTGTGAACAGCAGACAGGTTGGAGCCTGGAATGGAGGAAGAAAAATGAAAGATCAAAGGTGAAGTAGGGGATAGGGTAGAGGAGGGGAAAAAAAAAAAAACAGGGCCCCATGAGAAATGGAGGCAGGAAATAGTCAAGCTGAAGACTTGGGGACAGTGTGTGTGGGAGACAGTACAGATGGAATAAGAGCTAATAGTTCCCTGATTCTTCCCAAGTAATCCTTTCTCAACCTTGTTAGGAAAGGATAGGTGTAGCAGGAAGTTGGTTCCCTGGTCCTCTTCCTGGTTCTTAGGAAAAGGTGACCTTGGGAGGCAGGCATCGGGTGTGCTCTTCCTCTAGTGTGTTCTCTCAACCTTCCTCTGGTATCTGTTTATTCTGTGGTTTTCCTGAGGCTGCCTCTCCTGGGTAAAATGGAGAGATTGTGTGCAGATCGAATTCAGAGAAGAGGCTGGGCAATGTCACCCCCCCCCCCCCCCCAATAACCACAAAATAGACGGATTGGGTTTCAGATTAAACAGAAGGGGCATGGGAGAAGGGGGTTTCAGGCTTCGGGAATCCCCGTGGTGCTGTCCTCTACTTGGTGCTGAAATCTGACTACCCTCATTCTCGGTGGGCCTATGTCCCCAGCCTCAGCGAGTTGAGTCTCCGGCCTTCCTAATTACCTGGCTGGTGCTACCCAACCCCACCCCCGCACACCTAGCGCGGTGGCAGGCGGGAAGGCGGAGTCTGGGTGAGCCCCACCCCTGGAGACTGCGGCTGGGGCCTCCCTCTGCTCCGCTGGCTGGCCGCTTGCTCGCTGCGCCTCTCCTGCAGCCTGGTTGGCACCGGCTGCCACTTCAGCTTCAGCCTTCATCGTGACCCCTATTTTGGCTTCAGCCTCGGACCCAGCTCCGGCCCTCTCACTACCCGATTGCATCCTTCCTCCTAGTTCCTGATTTGCTCCGAATCCAGTAGCTGCATCCCCAAGCCATGGCTGGTCCCTTCTCCCGTCTGTTGTCTGCCCGCCCCGGACTCAGGCTCCTGGCTTTGGCTGGAGCTGGGTCTCTCGCCGCTGGGATTCTGCTCCGTCCGGAATCTGTACGAGCTGCCAGTGAACGAAGGAGACTGTATCCCCCGAGGTATCAGTGCCTGAGACGCATGAGGTGGGGGCTGGGGTGGTGGTGGTGATGGTGATGATGATGGGAACCGAAGGGGGGTAGAAAGGATGACTTGAGCAATAGACAGCTTCCCCCCCTCCAAGAAGATGGATTTCTGTACAGTTTGGAGATCCCAGCCGTATAGGAGGAGTAGGGCCAAATCCGTAAAGCAAGATCATGTCTAAGAACCTGTCACCTGATGTCTCTGCCTCCAAGCCAGCTTTGGCCTGCGAGGTCTAGGTTCACCTTACTGGATGACTAGAAACTACCTTTCCCCCATCTCGACCTATTCTCCTTGTTCTTAATTCTCCTGAGTCTTTCCCCTCCCCCACCTCTACTGTTATGCTCACTAGAGAAAAGGAACTGTGTAGATCTGGGGGAATTGAGGCAGCCACAGGCAGCTAGAACTATTAGGGGGGGAAAAAGACCCTGGAAATCCCTAAAGAGATTATCAAGATTTAGCCTACCTCTAATTCCCCCTCCTTCCAAGAAGCACAGGCAGACATGGCTCCCTGGACAGCTCCCAGTTGACATCAGTAGGTCTAGTCTCCTGTGCTCTCCCTCCATGGTTACTGGGTACCCCCTTCCCAGTGCTGAGTACCCAGACCTCCGAAAACACAACAACTGCATGGCCAGTCACCTGACCCCAGCAGTCTATGCACGGCTCTGCGACAAGACCACACCCACCGGTTGGACACTAGATCAGTGCATCCAGACTGGCGTGGACAACCCCGGCCACCCCTTCATCAAGACTGTGGGCATGGTGGCTGGAGATGAGGAGACCTATGAGGTAGGGGGCCCCTCAGAGTCTCCCTGGTGACCCAAGTCACCTTCCCAGAAATCCTAGTTCCTTCTTCCCCCTAAAGATCCTTCATGTCTGTTCCCTCAAGACTCTGGATTGTCGATACTCAAATTTTCCGACCCGGGGAAATCAATCTACAATTGAAGTGTAGGAAGGAGTTTCTTCTTTTTAACCATCTCTCTCTCTTAATTCCCTCTCAGATATTTGCCGAACTGTTTGACCCTGTGATCCAAGAGCGACATAACGGATATGACCCCCGAACAATGAAGCACACCACTGACCTTGATGCCAGTAAAGTGAGCCACTTACGACACTTCCGATTTGTGTGGCCTTGTGCACAATGTTCTGTATCCAATCATTATACCTTGTTTCCTGGATCATGGTTAGACTGCTGAGCTTTCGATATTGATAAGAGAAAGAACTGTATATCTCGAAGAATAGCAGATATGAAGACACAGTGGATAAGAGTGACTATATCAGGATAATGGGGCTGGGGAAAATATGATCAAAGTCCACTATGTGTATGAAATTGTGAAAGAATTTTTTAAAAAGTGACTATGCCTTGGCTGGGTGTGGTGACTCACACCTGTAATCTCAGCTCTCAGCAAAGACACCCCCCCTCCACCTCAAAAAAAAAAGGATGTACCCAAAGTAGGAAGTTTGGAGAAATAGACCATGACGTCCTCTTCAGTTAGCATGCCTGTACAATATGTCCTTCCTTCCAGTGAATGCTTTATAATCCTTAAGAGCTCCCACCTGTGGTGTGTCTGTGACTTACTCGTTCTTTGACTCCCCAGATCCGTTCTGGCTACTTTGATGAGAGGTATGTATTGTCCTCAAGAGTCAGAACTGGCCGAAGCATCAGGGGACTCAGTCTGCCTCCAGCCTGCACTCGGGCCGAGCGGCGAGAGGTAGAACGTGTGGTGGTGGACGCACTGAGCGGCCTGAAGGGTGACCTGGCCGGACGATACTACAGGCTCAGTGAGATGACAGAGGCTGAGCAGCAACAACTCATTGATGTGAGGGGCCTTGAGAGGGACCGGGGCTGTGGGAGCAGCTGATGGAAAAGGGTCAGAGGGGAGGCTGGGCCAGATAAGATAGATGGACTTGGAGAGACCCAGACGATACTGTGAGAATTCTTATGTCCAATCCCTTTATTCTCCTCAGGACCATTTTCTGTTCGACAAGCCTGTGTCCCCATTGCTGACCGCAGCAGGGATGGCTCGAGACTGGCCAGATGCTCGAGGAATCTGGTATGAGGCTGATCCGCCTTCTTTGTGTGACACACACACACACACACACACACACACACACTTCCCCTCCATCTCCCCCAGTTCTCGTCTTGCCTCTTGACCCCTTTACCTCTTCCCTCAGGCACAACAATGAGAAGAGTTTCTTGATCTGGGTGAACGAGGAGGACCACACACGGGTCATCTCTATGGAGAAAGGTGGCAACATGAAGAGAGTGTTTGAGAGATTCTGCCGGGGCCTCAAAGAGGTTGGAGAAGGGTGTGCAAGGGAGCTGAGTGGGGGGAAATGAGAAAAGCCAAAGAGTAGCATAGGTAGATTGGCTATGTCATTTGTCAGCCAACCCAGGGTATTTCTGATCGTAGAAAGAGTGATTATTAATCACACAAGGACAGTAGTCATGAACCAGGGTCATCCTTATAAAACCAGGGCATATCATTACTCTTAAAATAGGAAGAATGTCGGTAACCTAAGGAAGGAAGTAAAGCATAATCTTTGCCAAGTAATGCAAAGAAGAAACCAGTGATATGGCAAGCCAGTGCTAGGGTGGGTGGTGTGAGGTAGGATATGCAGCTAAGAAGAATGTTTGAGCCTGGATTGATGTAGGGGGTGAGAGATTGGTATGTTTATGACACATCACCCAGTTCTGAGCCAAGGTGGGCCTTGACGATGGGTTCTATCTAGCATTGTATCTAGGCTGTGAGCTGAGAATGGGAGAGGGACTAGGGGAGATGGAGGCTGAAATGGCTTAAGTTCTAGAATGAATGGTTCTAGATGAGAGGTTAATCTGTGGTCTTATGGATTGGGTCTCTATATTTAATTCTGTGTTAGAAACTGCCATAGATCTAATCCTTAGTGTATATTCTTTTATCTACAGTTTTATTTTTGGACTTGTAAAGAAAGAGAGCTTCGCTTTTAGATTCTAGCTGGGAAGCTTATACTATTTTTGGCAAGGGATGGATAATGTTTTATGAGTGGGTAGAAAAATACTCTTTAATTATATGACTCAGTTTCCTCATCTGTAAAGTTGAGATAATATGATTGCTTATATTTTAGGTTGTGAGGATTAAATGAAATAATGCAGGCAAAGTAACTGTCCTCCAATAAGTGTTAGCTTCAGCATGATTAGTTTCAGGCTTATGATTCCTTCTGAGCTATTGAGAGTGTCATCTTTACTTATCCTGGGTAGTGGCCTTTGTGTCTATTGCTCTGACAGACCCTAGTCTCTTCAATTCTAATAGTCTAATGGTGGTTAGACTGGCTCAGGAAAGCAGGGACACCTCTGCACTCCCCCTCTCCTCACGCCTGTACCGATGGATCTGGCTTCTCTGCTCTACTTTCTCATTCCTCTCCAGCTAAGAGCAGGCTCTCCTGCCTCTTCCTGTGCCAACTCTTATCATCCTGTTTCTGTCCAAAGGACCCTCTGCTCTTTGTTAAGAAGATAATTGATACATAAAGAGCTCATGAAACAATCAACCATTTATCTGTCTGTGTACCACTTCTGTTCATTTCCATAGGCCACCCTTAATGTACCATTCCCTCAAGTTTCTTTATGAACAATCTGTTTGTCCACAATCTTATCAGTATGCATATAGCGCAATATCAAAGTTACCTTTCATGTGCGATGACAATAATTTTTTAACAACAAAGAACATGCCATTCATCCATTCTCAAGTTTCTTGTTGTAGACATATTTCTAGAGTGTTTGTAAGGGCTAACTAAGAGGGATAGAGCCATCCCCGATTTTCTCACAACAGAACTTCTGTCGGCACAGGTGGAGAAGCTGATCCAGGAACGAGGCTGGGAGTTCATGTGGAATGAACGTTTGGGATACATCTTGACCTGTCCATCTAACCTGGGCACTGGACTTCGGGCAGGAGTGCACATCAAGCTGCCCCTGCTAAGCAAAGTAAAGGAGATGTGGGGTTAGAGAGGGGTGTGAGTGAGAAGGAGATTGGATGGGGAAGGAGAAGGCTCTCTGAAAGGAGCCAGGCATATCATATCACAGCTAAAGGGCCAAGGGCAAGGTAGGAATAGTCTCTGCCTCTATTGACCTGCCCCTGATTTCTGTCTTGCCTATAGGATAGTCGTTTCCCAAAGATTCTGGAGAACTTGAGACTCCAAAAGCGTGGGACTGGAGGGGTGGACACTGCCGCCACGGGCAGTGTCTTTGACATCTCTAATTTGGATCGACTTGGCAAGTCAGAGGTAAGGTCTTATGAATTAGGTGGAGGAGTTGAGATAAGACAGTGAGTGAGCCTCGGGAATGTAATAGAATCTGAAGGAAAGCTCAGGTTGAGTTGGGGAGAGGAGGGGAAATACGTTTTCAGAGATGGAAGATCAGTGCTAAGAAAGAAATTGAGGTCGGGCAAGGTGGCTCATGCTTTTAAGATGAGCAGAGGCAGGTGGATCTCTGTGAATCTCAGGCCAGCCTGGTCTCCACAGCAAGTTCCAGGCCAGCCAGGGCTACATAGTGAGATCCTGTCTCGAAAGAAAGAAAGAAAGAAAGAAAGAAAGAAAGAAAGAAAGAAAGAAAGAAAGGAAGGAAGGAAGGAAGGAAGGAAGGAAGGAAGGAAGGAAGGAAGGAAGAAAAAGAAAGAAAGAAAGAAAGAAAGGAAGGAAGGAAGGAAGGAAGGAAGGAAGGAAGGAAGGAAGAAAGGAAAGAGAGGGGAAGAAAAAGAAGTTCAGCTAGACTGTGGGAAGTAGAGATCAAGATGAGTGTTCTTCAGGTGGAGCTGGTACAGCTGGTCATCGATGGAGTAAACTATTTGATTGACTGTGAACGGCGTCTGGAGAGAGGACAGGATATCCGAATCCCTGCACCTCTCGTCCATGGCAAACATTAACCCCCCCATCCCCAGCAAATGAATCAAGAGCCCCAGGACTTCCGCATATTTAATGGTGGCCCATTCTGCTTGCCCTGGACCTGCCCCTTACTCCCTCTCCTAGTAAAGACTTCACATTATGTCCCAGCTGTCTGTGTTATTTCTGTTGGTGTGGTGAGGAGGAAGTAGGAAATGAAAAGAAACAGTGGGGTTATTCATGATGGCAAGAGACATCTATGCCAGGAGCACTGATTCTCAGGTGGGTGGTGGAATACATTACCCATATTCCTCATCCACTTACAGAGAATAACCAGAATGCACTTCCATTTACAATTTGTTCAGTATGATGTAAGTTTTCTCCCTCAGCTGAAGGAACAGTATCATAACAGGTGGCCAACAGAGCTGATGGTCAATACCAGAGCCCAGGAGGATTGGAACCAGTCATAGAGACCCCAGGCTGAGCTTCGACCTATAATGAGACGAGGGATGAGAAGAACATCACAATTCTGTTCCCTAGGAGCCTTTGATGCTCCAAAACTAGCTCTCCATGTATAAATCCCTCTACTCCAGAGATTCTCCTCTATGGGTTCTGAGGGCCGGACGGCACCAAGTTAGGACTTGAACTCTGGGTCAGATGACAGCTTATCAAGCTGTGCAGCTGGTTACTTACCCCGTTGTTCTGGGATCTCCTTCCCTTCGTACTGGGCCCATGCAACTGCCTGCCGCTGCTCAGGACTCAGGTAGGCCATTTGCTCCGGTGTAACAGCCACAGCCTGAACACTGGTGAGACTAGACAGCTGGACGGGGTTGAAAACCACCTAGAGGTAAAGACAGGAATCAGTCATCCACAATCCTGTTGGGCCCCTGCTCTCCCTATGGTGACTCTAGGTCCCAGTCCACTGAAACTTACCGCAAACTTGGGAGCAGGGATGACGGAAATGGCAAGAGGAGTCAGGCCCTGGATCTGTTCTCGCAGTAATGCCGAAAGAGCCAGGTCTGGGATGCCAGCTAGTGAAGGAAGCAGGAGTGCATCTAACTATCAGAATCTACCCACGATGTAGTAACAAAACCCCGACAACCAGTGACAAACAGTGGCCCAGCTGCCCCACCTGCTAGAGTGCCGATTTCAGTGAAGATCTCAGGCCCCCAGTTACTGACTGGGCCAAAGCCACCAGGCAGCACAAGGAGGTAGGCCAGAACTTCCAGCTGTTCCTCAGAGCACGGGAGCTGCAGGTTGCCCAGGAAGAGAGCTGCTTGGCTGTGGAGCAGTAGGAAGAAAGGGAGAGGAATTCAGCTTTGAGGACAGAAGCTGTGGTCATAGATGGAGGAAGAGATGGCTTCACGTGGACTCCCTTCCTTCACAGCACAGCCCCTTCGTGAGCCCATCTCCACCACAGCACCCCCCCCCCCCCAAAACTTCCACAGGTAACCTAAGCTCCCAACTGCTGATGTGCCGTAACTCCTCTGGCCGCAGTCCACAGAGTGTGTGACCGAGTGCTGTCAGATAAATGAAATCCAGGTGGCTCACGTGCCGACCACTCTGCCGCAGGAAACTGGAGACCACAGCTCGGAGCTGGTGGAGCACAGGATACAGAGCTAAATCAATCTTGGGGAATTAGTGGATGGGAAATGACTAGGGGAGAGGAAGGTGCTCCTGGACTATATTGCCTTGTTCTAAACATCAGAAGATCCTGTAGCCATAGAGAAAAATCAAGGATACACCCTTGCCCTCACAAAGATAGGAGGAGGAGGAGGAGGAGGAGGAGGAGGAGGAGGAGGAGGAGGAAGGGGGCTGGAGAATACTTTGTATGAAGGACCTCAGAGAATAAATCACAGAGCTTCTAAGGTCACTAATATAGAGTATTAAGAAAAGACAAGCTGAGCGTGGTGGTACTCTTGCAATCTCAGTATTTGGGAGACAGGTAGGAGGATCAGAAGCTCAAGGCTATCCTCAGCTGCATAAGAGGGTCAAGACCAAGGTGGGCTACATAAGACCCCGTCTACAAAAACAAAAACAAATCAAGAAAAGATAGAAAGAATGGCCTGAAAGGATCACAAGAGAAAATCTGTTAGGCTTGGATGATGTAGAGGACTAAGTCTACAGGATGGATGTCTGGGGCAAGGCCAGGAAAAGAGAAGATGGTACCTGGACAGAGCTCCAGCCGTCTATTTGCCCCAGGCTGCTGAGCACACCCCAATCCACCAGGGTAAGCTCCTGCAGCTCTCGCTCTCCCAGACCTCTCAGGAGCCGGCCTAGCTGCAAGATCTGCTCAGGACGGAATCCCCTGGGGGCACCCCACAACTAGGAGGAAAACAGGAATGATGTGAGTGGAAAAAGTACCAGACTGGGAGTCAACCTCAGGGTCATGGTCTTTAGCTGTGGAACACCGGTCAGATCTCACTCGCCTTTTTTCGGTTTCCACCACAGTAAAATGAGAGTTTCTCTGACTTAGGGGTTCTGAAAGGCTGGAGTCTCAGTAGGAAAGGAGAGCAAACTCTAGCCCATGCATCCTAAACTCTATGTGCACCAGACCCCCTGAGGCACCAGCTGAAGTGCAGATGCCAGTCCCAAATCCGGAGATTCTTAGTCTGGCACGGGACCCAGCAATCGCCTTTTAAGAACCTGTTCCATAGACACTTTTGACAGCTCTTCAAATAGTCCCTCTGTCTATTGCACCACACTTTCTTCAGTACTGATCCCCTCTGACCTTCTACTTATAATCCAAAACTCTCACTTTCATCTTCTGCTTCCTCACCTCTTACCCAAGTCTCCATTCCCTTGTGTCCCATATCACACCCACTCAACTTCCTCATGTTTTACCCCCCTGGCCCTATTAGCCTCTCCATCCCTAACCTGCTTGGCCTTGCCCATGGCTGCCCGTAGTTCCTCAGGACCAAGTCCCGGATCTTCAGCAAACAGTGACAGACAATCCTCAAAGTCTGAGAGTTCCATCTCTGTGATCTGTGTGGCAGACCAGGCTGCTGGGAAGGTGCCCCGGATGTCTGCACAGTTTGGTACAGGCTCTGAAGGCAGAAGGCAGAGACAAAGGGTCAGTGTGATACTAAATTATGCCTCCAGTGATAGCTGCAGATCACTTAACCCTTGAAGGACAGAGCAGTGTGGGCATCAAGGATTAAGGAATGATGACAGTGAGCATTATAGGGCTCATATGACAAGGTCATCCTTTGTTAAATGGAAGACAGAGGAGATTGCTCAGATATTTAATAAAAGAGCTGAATCAGAACCCAGGTCTCTGGACTCATGATGTCTCCTTCTGTCTAGAGATTTCCTCAGCAGAGAGCTCCACACTTTGCCAGGCCAGAGAGAACAAGAAAACGGAATTCTGGACTAAATTGTTGTTTTGTTTTGTTTTGAGACAGGGACTCATGTAGCCCAGGTTGGCCTTAAATCTGCTACGTAGTTAAGGTTGACCTTGAATTCCTGGTCATCCTGCCTCCCCTCCCAAGTATTGAGATGACAGGTGTGTATACCACCACACCCGACTTTAAACATTTAATGGGTTATAAACTCCCAGGATTATAGACCCTTACAACTAGAAGAGACCTTGAATACCATCTTCTAACCCTTGTGCTTTACTGATGACCAAAGCCTAGAGAGCAGGAAATCTGCTCAGCGGGTCCAGCACACCTAGAGCCCAGCCTCCCATCCCACTGTGGTGCCAGTGATAGAACCCAGGGCCTTGTAAATGGCAGCCAGAGCTCAGCCACCCACAGTCACCCACCCAGGCTTCCAATTGCGTCATTTGCCTTGATACCTTCTCCCACACCCCCTGCTGGAGTATTTGGGGAGCTTCACCTGGGAGACCCTCGGCAGCTGACTGCACAATTCCAGCTACTAGAGCTGCTTTCTTGTGGGCAAGCTGTGGTCCTCTGCACAGATGTCCCACTCCGCTCTGCTCCCAGCTCTGCTGCTTTTCTAGAAGCCGCTCCAGGGTCTCCGGGCCCAAAGCCTCCTGCGGGAGAGAGTAGAGGGGAGGAGAAGCGATCTGGCAGGCAGGGCCAGGAGCTGTATTTTCAAGATCCTTTCATCAGGGCTGGGGGCTCATGACTGCAATGCTTGAAGCAGGACTGCCATGAATTTTAAGCCCACCAGGGCTACAGAACGAGTTCAGGCCAGCCTAACTCTCTCAAATAAACACACAAAACTGAAAACAAACGCTACAAACAAGCCCTGCCTTTGTTTAGCAGTCTCCTCAGACACAGACTGTGCTTCCTTTGCCCTCCATGACCTAACTCCCAAGAGCCAGCCACCGCTCAGTCTCCTTGTTCCTTCACCTCACCCTGGGGATCAAGGAAATCGCCTCAGTAGGCAGAGTGAATACGAGGCGTCCAGCTTGCTCTACTTCATCCTGGCTCCACAATTCTGCTTTCCTGGGTGGGGGGGGAGACAGATGAGACAGCACAGAGTTGAGTGAACTGTGAGGAAAATAAGACATTCTGAGACTGAGGACTCAGGGTACCTTTAAAGCATATGGAATGGGATGCCACTGTGACTGATGGTCAAGGACCTGGGTATAGGATGTTACCAAAGTGCCATACCCAAGAACAGGCTCCTGCAACAGCAGCCGTCCCAGCTCTGTGGCAAAGGTCTCTCCTAGGCAGAAGCCCTGCAGTTGACTGAGATGGGACAGGAGAACTGGTAAAGGGATCCGTCGTGTGCTCTCTATTCCCAGGAATCCAACCAAGGGGCCCAGTGTATTCAGTACGTCTTCAGAGATCGGGGTCTCCTTTGGAGCCTGGAGAGAGGCGTCAAGCCTTGGACAATACACCTGATCCAGAGTACCAGACTCCTTGATCACGATACCAAGTCCCTTGACCCTCCCTCCCCTCCTACTTCCAACTCAGCCCCCATGAAGGCCATTGCTCGTTTGCTGTTTTGTTTTGTTTTCCAGAGCTGAGGACCGAACCCAGGGTCTTGCACTTGCTAGGCAAGCGCTCTACCACTGAGCTAAATCCCCAACCTCTTGTTTGCTGTTTTAAATAGTGAGTGAGCTCAGACAGAAGCAGATAGAAAGACGGAGAGACAGACTGCAAAGGATTTCTTAGACATCAAGGGACACCAGCATGAAACATGAAGCAGGTTGATCAAAAAATTGAGAGGCAGATCTAGAAGCCAAGGCCAGTAGGTAGGTTAGCAGTCTAAGGCTTGGGTCTGGAAGTGAAAGAGCACTATTTGAGGGGCAAGGATCACAAAGGACCTGAGTCTGATGGGGAAGACTCTTACCAGGTTTTTCAGTGCCCGCTCTGCCAAGGCTGCCTGGTGGAGTGGGGTCAGTGTCAGCAGCTGCTCTGGAGCACCGTGGACCAACTCTACCACCAACATGATGGAATCATCGGACAATCTGTCCATCAGCTGGATCCTATTATTGAAATTTGACCGTGGTGACATTCAAGTGGAACTGAGGGAGCCTGAGAAGGGATCATCAAACCTCACCTTCCTAATGTCAGACCTGAAACTGTGACTCTACACAGAACTGATATTCAGCAGTCCTGAGCCAGCTCCCACCATGTACTTGAAGGGAGAGTACAAGGATGGTGGCTATCTCTAGCTGTCCTTTGAAACAATCTACCTGATATGATGCGCTCAAAAGCCCCAGATATTAACCACTATTCAAATCTCTTAGCATTTGTTCAAGGTGAGGAACTCCAGTTTTCTGACTCATGGTCCGAGGTCTTTTACCTCAGCTGGGTTCTTGGAGTTCTACATTATCTTAGAGAATCAACATAGTTAAAGAGATTTAAATGGCCTTTAAAAGAAATAAAACAGAAATCAGAAGTGGTACCTGTGCTCTATATAGAAAAGGGCCAAATGGATGAGAACCAAAATCTAGAGGGAAGCTTGCAAACACGTATGCATGGGAATTAACTGCTTTCACAAGTGTCACGTCTCCAGGAGGTCTTTAACCCCAGCCTTTCCCTATGCTCACTTGCAGCTCAGATGGCAAGCGGCTGGAGAAGCACATGGGTAAGGTACTCATAAACTAGAGGCTGGAGAGATGGCTCAGTGGATAAGAGCACTGGCTATTCTTCCAGAGGACCAAAGTTCAATTCCCAGAACCCACATGGCAGCTACAACCATCAGTAACTCCTGTTCCAGGGGATCCAACACTGTCTTCTGGCCTCTCTGGGTATCAGAATGTACTTGGTGTATAGAAATCCATGCAGCAAAATAACCATACACATAAAATAAAATAATAAATTATTAAAGCTCTAAAAAAAAAAAGTTGAGTGTAGTAGCACATGCCTTCAATCCTGGTACTTTGGAGTCAGAGGTGAGAGGATGTTTAGGAGTTCCAGGCCAGCCTGGTCTACACAGTGAGTTCCAGGCCAGTGAGAGCTACACAATGAGACCCTTTTAAAAAGATACTAATAAACCGGAATCTCTGGAATGGGGGAACCTCTCACCTAGCCTTCTCTCCCTCTATTCATACTTGAATCTGCTTTCTAACATTCCTTCCATGGGACCATCCAGCTCAGGTTTGGAGAGCACAAATGATCAGGAACTCACTACTTCAACTGCATTCAAGTACAAAAAAAAAAAAAAAAAAGAAAGAAAAAAAATCTGATTTTTACCTTGTGAATCCTAGTCTTGTCCCATGGAGCCACTCACAAATAACCCTATACACTTTCTTTCTATTTGAAAGCTTCTTGGGGTCTTGGAGGCTTTTTAACACACTTCATCCCCTACCCCCCATCCACTCCTCTGAACATACTGAAAACATAGTGCACTAATCAGATTGCAATCCTCTAGGACACAAAAAGACCATTTCCTCCTTCATTTCAGTTACTACACATCCATTAATATAGCCTAGATTTTTTCCCTAAATTCACCTCATGGCCACAACACAGTATTACCAGTCTCCGCTATCTTGTGCCAGGGCCATTCTTGGGAGCACATGGACATGAGAAACAACTTTGAAAGAGTCCTGTTTGGGACTGTAGATGACGTCAGGAAAGCACTAGACAAAAAGCTACCTCTTCTGGGTATTTCCCAAGAGGGAGTCAAAGGTGAGCACCCTGAGGCCCCCATATCTCCAGGCATGCACTCACGGTAAGTCTAGGAGCAGCCGTGTGTCAAGCTCACTCAGTTCTGGCCCCAGGGTAGTTAGCTCTGGCTCTGGCATTGTCATTCTCCGCTGTAACTCTGCCCAGATACAGGCCCGCTGGGAGGTATTGGATAGAGAAGGCAGGGTCAAGACAGAGCTGAGCATGGCGGCTGGGATCCTGAATCCAGGGTTCAAGCCTCCCACTAACATCGAAGACATCCTCTCACCAGGCTCCCTCGGACACCAGTGGGCAGTTGGTAGAGCATGTGTACCACAGCAAGGAAGTCTACCATTGAGCTGATCTGCTGCAGAAACTCACAGGACATGCCCCCTGCCAGGTTGCCCAGAGCCCTGTGGGCATGTGAGTGGGAAGATGCTCTTTAACACATGTAATAGCCTGCCTGATGCTTAATATCAGTGCTCTCAACACAAAGACAGATGTTCATTGACAGTCATTTACAGCTTGTGAAATGTTTGTATGTAGATAACATCATTGGCTTCCCATAACATCATCACTGTTTAGCAGCGAGAAAATAAAGATCTACAAAGGTCAAGGGATATTCTTAACATCAGTCTACTAGAAGTAAGTTGAGACTAGAGCTATGTCTTCAGATTCCAAAGTCCCTGGTTCTTTTACTGTAGGTGTAAGTAAAGTGATACCTACTTCTTTCTCTAGTGGCTCTAAAGTCACCTTGAATTAAATTAAGAACAGCAAATGTCTATTAGGAGTTTCTACTGGGCCAGGTACTGTGTTAAAGATATTGTGTGCCTTACTCTCATTCAATTTGCACAATAACTTTATTTTAATTCTCATTATATAAAAGGAAAAATCTGGCCGGGCGGTGGTGGCACACGCCTTTAATCCCAGCACTCGGGAGGCAGAGCCAGGCGGATCTCTGTGAGTTCGAGGCCAGCCTGGGCTACCAAGTGGGTCCCAGGAAAGGCACAAATCTACACAGAGAAACCCTGTCTCGAAAAACCAAAAAAAAAAAAAAAAAAAAAAAAAAAAAGGAAAAATCTGAAGCTTAGAGTGACTTAGAGACTTGACTCTAGGTAACAAAGATGTGGCGTGAGCCCAAGTTTTCTGAGTCCCACGGCAATAATTGGGATAGCTGTGGCACTATAGAAAGGAAGGAGGAAAGCAAGGGAAGGGAAGAAAACCAGAATGCTGGCAGGGCTGGAATAGTAGCCCATCCCTGTCTCTCCATCACACAGTGCCACATGTAGAGTGAGCACGTAATAACAACAACAACAATAATAATAACAATAATAATAATGCCACCTGAATCAAACCAACTGTCCAACCCAAGCTACTCACTGCAGGTTCCTGAGGGTCAGGTTGGTGGGCACTTGCATCTTCTTCCAAAGAAACTGTGCCTATGGACATACAAAGAGGAAACAGCTTCCCAGCAGAGGCACTGTCCCGAGGACCTCAGAGGTGAGCATGAGGCCATATTTCTTCACTTTGTGATGCTCACCAGGCCCCCCTTTCCCAAAGTCCTACTCCCTTCTGAGAGAGAGAGAGAGAGAGAGAGAGAGAGAGAGAGAGAGAGAGAGAGAGAGAGACCAGTGATAGGGGATAAGGTATCTGAGCAAGGGCCGAGTAAAGGAAGTGGAGAAGACAGAGAGGGCGTTCTAAGGCCAGAAGAAAGCAGTACCTGCTGCTCAGACCAGGGCAGCTGCCGATAGCGCCTCCGGTTTGCCAGAAGAGCCACGGTGTCCAGTTGTAGCAGCTTTAGTGGGAGCAGGGGAAGCAGGCAGTCTGGCCAAGTGGTGGGGATGGGCTGCTGGCAGCGGTGGGTAGAGCAGTGGGTAGAGCAGTTCGGTGATAGGTGAGAGGGTCTGCACTAGCCCTTAGCGACGGGCAGAAAGGGATCAAAGCCAGCATGGAGTGGAAGGGCATGTGCCATGGCAGCATTGAATGCCTAGGTCCCACACACCGCGGGCTATTGCGGTTTGTGTTGCGCTGGTTAAGACACCTGATGAACAGAAGTCCCCTAGCTTCTCTCAGCCTTAGTCTTTTCATCGGAAAGCAGGAGGTTGGCCTGGAAGATCTCAGGCCTTCTGGCTTCGACAGTGTAGGATAATGGGAGCAGTAATGTTCTGCATCAGGACCTGGGATGCTGTTACCATCCAGGTGGGCACAGAGCTAACCTGAACTCTCAGGGCCACTGTAGGGGGAGTGTACGAAGCAACACCAGCCAGTTGAAACCACCCAGAACACGGAGAGGTGCCCAGTCTGGAGATCCCACACATACCTGACCCGGAATGCACACAGCTGTGCCAGCACCTGTTGCACCCATACTTTTAACACCGTCTTTTACCTGCACAAAAATTAGTAGTATCTGGGTGCGTGCTTGCATGAGTGCGTGCATGCATGTGTGGTCTCTGGCCACACGGAAGATGCCCACCCCCTATGTACCATGCATCTTCTGCTTATCTCGTTCTCCTGTTCACATACCCGAAAGGTCTGCAGGAGTGCAGCAGTCTGGCAAGCCGAAAGCCTTGATAGCTCAGGGCCCAGGCAGGAACAAGCCCCAAGCAGAATTCGCTTAGGGATGGCCTGGAGTGTCTGGGGGCTGAGACCTGGCAGCAGAGGATGCAAGGAGCAGAGTTCCTCCAGGGATAGCTAAGTAACAAGAGACAAGAGTTCTGAGGAAGGGGGGCAGGATGTTGGGAAGACAATAACTCTGTACAGTTGGGCAATAGGTATGAGGGGAGCTGAGAGAGAGAGAGGAAAGAGACTCGATGCAAGAGCCATGGGACTAGGGCACAGAGCCTCTAGGAGGCACAGAACTTGATGCTACTCACATCGTGCCTAGGGAGGAGCCTTCCAAACAGCAGAACAGCCTGGAATGGAATGGAACGGGAATCAGCGGCTCTTAGCTCCCATTAGCCAAGTCTCAAAAAGGTCCCAGACCTGCCCTCTAAAGCTTCCAGTTCCCTCCCAGCCACCCCAGGGACCAACCTCTCTGAAGGTCCTTCTTGAGCTGAGAAAGGGGAAGGAGGAATGTCTTGTTCACCTTCAGCATTACCCAGGGAAAGGAAGGGCTGGTCATATCTCTACATGGGATTCTCATGACTGGGCCTTCAGGGAGTAAGACAAGCCCACCTGGGCAGGTGTGACACTGGCTCCCTGTAGGGCAGGAAGCATGGCTCTGAGCTGGGGCTCTGACAGCTCCTGCAGGAAGCGGAGGCCCAGCTGGGAAAAGAGAGGTGCCCAGACCCGCAGCTCTCGAGGGCTTAAGACAGCACCTCCAGATGAACGCAACAATCCCAGAAGTTCATATGCCACCTGTAACGAAGGAAGACTTGGGACTGGGGAGAAAACACAGCTGAATCCAGGACTGTCTTCCCAAACTCACATCTGCATTTCCCAGGGCTTGGACTAGTCCTTGGAACCAGGGAGACCAGAGTAGAACTGGTCCAAGATCACGAAAGGAGTCATTGGGTAGGGTTAGGAAGAGGCGAGAAGAGGCCAGAATGAGTAGGCACTAAGGAACAGAGATGGCAGAGAGTGGGATTGGGAACCCACACCACTGTGCTTAACCTTGGTTGGTGCAACTGGGCAAGTCGTTCACACAGTCCCTGGGGAAGTCTGGAGTCTTTCAGATTTGTACCAAGGGGCTTACCCGTCCTTCTGGGCGGAGGGTCCCATTGGCCGCACATTCCAGCAGGCCCTGTTCTACAGGCCCCAATGGATCACTCAAGGGCACCAGACTCTGTAACTCCTCAGGACTCAGGAAACATGCGAGGGACCCAAGCCTGAAGGGGGCATGAAGTTGGCCTTGATGTGGTCACTGATATTAGTACCTAGGCACGAACTATTTGGTACATCGAGTAGGCATGTAAACTAAACTGGGAAACGTGAGCACCATATATCAGTTTCTGTCTCAGAGCCCCTAGACTGCCAGGACCGTGTTCTCCTCTCTTGCCCCTTCCTTCCTAGAATACTATCCCTGCTTCTACACCACCTCCCTGCTGGCCATGGTCACTGACTCCACAACCACTCACCTACGCACTTGCTCCTCACCATCCTCCATGCTCTGGTTCACTAGGCTCCGAAGCACGTGTCGGGCATGCCCTGGCCCAAGACCTGCCACTGGCCAGATATCCTCCAGGGCCTGGATCTGAGATGGGGAAGGAGAGGTGGGGTAATGGTGAGACTGGGAGCCCACTAGGCAACATGCTGCTGACTCCCATCCCACCTTGAGGAGGATGGCACAGTCAAATAATGATGACCCTCATACCTGGTGAGGGCTGAGCTGTAGAAAGTTCTCCAGCGGGAGATGGGGAAGCAGAGGCAGCACCGCCCACAGCAGCTCCTGGGGCCAATCAGGCACTTCTCCAAACAGCTCAGGGGCCAGCAGGCGCTTAGCCAGGGCCTCCTTCTGTTCAGGCTTCATTCCTGAGCTGTGATCCCGGATGGCAGCCAGGCTAAGGAGAGTAACGGGTCTCAACGTTTCTCTTACACACTCTCTGTTACAGTCTCGTCAGGGTGGACGGGAAGCAGACGCTCCCTGGTTTAACACAGAGGAGCTCTAACAGGGATCTCTGGAGGTGGACAGGCTTGACCTGACTCTGACAGGGGCAAGAGTGGTTCTTACACGCTGTCATTGGCCAGAAGGGACGGTGGGAAGCGCATCAGGTCAGGGACAGCCAGGAAAGGGATGAGTGGTGACAAGTCAATGAAGAGCTGGGAGGTGAGACGTGGGTACCGCTGGAGCAGCAAGGCTGTCAGGCGGCCCACGGCCTGCTCCTCGGATGGCGGAACCTGTAAGAACATAGAAACGGCCGCTGCCTCCAAGGGCATTCCGTGTCTTCTGCCACCTCCTCTTTGAAGTTCCTCTTGTCACTTTAGCGACCCCCCAGAACACCAGGGTCTGGGAAGCTGTGATCCCTTCTTTATCCCTTCCGTCCTTGTTCCCCTCCCCTCTACGCCCACCTTCAGCTGAGCCCAGGAACGATGCATGAGCGTCAGGAAGCCCTGCGCAGCCTCCATCTCCGCTGAAAGCACCAGCTGCTGAAGATCTTCTGGAGGCATGTGAAGGTAGGCCTGGGAACGGCAGGCAGTGGTGGGTATGACTTCAGTGAGCCGAGACCTCAAGCCGCGCTGCCCCTCAGCCACCCACGTGCCCTTCCACCTGCTACCTGCACTAGGATCTTCAGGACCCAAACACTCTTCTCTCTCTGGAGTAGATCCCACAGTATAGGCTGGGGGGAAGAAAATACAGGAAGAGAGTTGACTCTCTGATCCTCCTAAAGTCTGCCCAGGGACTTCAGCTCAGCTTGTGGGGACACTTGCAAGCCCTTCCTCTGAAGTTAGCATGTGTGTCTCTTCAGATGGTAGGCCCCATTAAGTCTGGGACCATGTCCTAACTTTTCTCTTACGGTCTCCCATGCCAGGCTTATAGTTGGCTCCACAAATACGTGTAGGCCTCAACCAAACTACAATCACTCCGTCTAATTCCATTTCACTCAGTCTAGGGCTTGAAAAAAGTGGCCCTAACACGGACCAACAAAATCTCACAAAGTACCTTTACATAATAGATATTCAATGAATTAAAGATGAAATTTAACACATTGTAAGCTCCTCTGTCGCACCGAGAAGCTGCAACAGGAAACATCACTTGCCTGAGGTCACAATCATTTATGTGATAGATGAACCTAAACAAAGTCTTCTGATTTGTAGTCCCTTCAATCTTCCTTTTTCATTCTTACTTTCCAACCCACAATTCTCACTTGTTAGGGAGAGAATTAAAATCTTTTACTTCCTGGAGCAGAACACGGGAGAGTCGCAGAGTGTGACAGAATAATGAGATGGAGTTTATTGCATGTTTATGAATCATGCGCTAGGCTAAGCCAGCAGCACGTAGCATTCCACAGAGTCTTTGCAACGACTCTAGGGTTAATATTGTGCTACACTCAGTTTATAGATGAGAAGACAGAGTGACCTGCCCGAGGTTGGAAGCCCAAGCCTGTCCAGCTCCACAGGTGTGTGCTTAAATCACTCTGAGTACTACACCCTCCTCTTCTCTATATTAGAAAACGTTCCTGAGTCCCTTCCCTTGCTCCAGGGGCTTTTACAGAGGCAGTTCACTCACACTGAAGCAGGACAGAAGCTCCATCTTGCTCATACCGGAGCTGAGACTGACAGTGGACTCCAAGTCTGGTGGGGTTGGCTCTTCTCGGGCCAGGTACTCCCCAACCGTCCTCAGTACACTTCTGCGGCCCTCTGGGCGGAAGGCATCCCAGAAGGAACAGTTGTCTGGGAGACTAGAGAGCAGCAGAGCTTGGCCCAGCATCCCCTGAGTCTCAGTACCCCCAGCCCCTGGACCCAAGAGGAAAGTCAGTAAGCGCAGGAGATAATGCAGGCGTGTGGGGTGGGCAAGGGCTGGCACAGAGGACTGACAGCGTGGCAACTGGGATAACATGCCAAGCAGAAAGGGGCCAGGAGCCAGACAGAGCGGCGATGGTCCCAGAGGCAGCAGGGAAGGCAGCAAAGGCCCCAGCATGCCTTCTAGAAAGCAAGTGTCATTGCCTCCACGACTTATTCGGCACTGGCCTGCTAGCCAAGCCCAGAAGGGGACCAAGGCCTCATACATAGTGTCGTTGGCACAGACCATGAGCAGGAAGCTGCCCCCGTCTGGGCAGCGTTCTCCACAGGGTCCAACGCGGCAAGGTGGGAAGTCAGTGGGATCCAAAGTCGGGCCCTGACACACGTGCTGAACCCAAGCCTGGTTTCGGGGGGGCACAGCCTGCAGACTCTCCTCCACACACAATCGTTCAGCCCACAGTGTCTCATTCTCCAGGAAGCAACCCCAGAATATGTCTGGGGTAAGGGGCACAGGGACCAAGCCATCCGGGCAGCTGGTAGGGGGTGGGAGCAGACCAGCACAGAGTTGCTTTACCAAGCGACGATTAGGGCCAGACAGGGCAGAAAACGAGAGGTTGCCGCAGATCATATCCAGAAATTGATCAGGAAACTGATCGTGGCAGGCCTGGAGCCAACCTTGGGCACGGGGTGCCCATGAGACTGCATACCATACCGCTGTCTGGCAGATGACGGCTGTGCCAGGAGGGGGCGGCGGGGTGCCAGGAGGGGGCGGCGGGGTGCCAGGAGGGGGCGGCGGGGTGGCTGGAGGGGGCGGTGAGGTGGCCGGAGGGGGCGGTGAGGTGGCCGGAGGGGGCGGTGAGGTGGCCGGAGGGGGCGGTGAGGTGGCCGGAGGGGGTGGTGGGGTGGCAGGTTTGATGTGCTGGCAGAGCAAGTAGATAGAGAAGTTGGAAATGCTGTAGGGTGGCTCTGGGCCTGAGTGGTTCTCGCAGAGGGCCTCCACAGAGATGGCTCGCCGCCGCCGCTGTCGAGGGCTGATGTGAGCTACAGGCTGGGAAGCCCTGGGCAGAGGCACACCTGTGCTCAGACAGTGCAGGAGGGCAGGGGGTGGAGGTGGTGATCCAGACAGAAAGCCCAGTGCTTGGGCATCCCAGGAAAGGTTGTTCCGCATGCCCCTGGGTGCAGAGGGAGGAGCAAGCAGGGCGTGATCAGCCCACATTTCCTCCAGTTGAAGGTTTTGAACCTAGCTCAGAGCTCTGCAGGGGGTGTGGCAAGCATGAGCTTTTCCTAAAGTCAGCTTCCTGAGAACATAGGTATCACTGGCTTGAATACTAGGATGGAGGGAAGGACAGAAATCTTCGCTGCCACGGCACAACATCGCTGGGGACAGCCCACTCCTGGTCCCACGCTTTTTCCTTTCTTCCTCTGGTTTTAGGTAGCTTAAACACAACCCTTGTTCGGCCTCATATCAGGAAATCATCCTGACAACCGAATATGCCTGATTGTACTCTGGCACTGTTATACAGAATAGAGGAGTCCAGTCGTCTGTGCCCCTCCACCCAGCCCCATCTTTACTAGTTAACATGTGTTAGGCACTAGATGGCAGACAGTCTAAGTTTATACTTTATCAACTCTCTGAGACAGGGTTTCTCTGTGTAACCCCGGCTGTCCTGGAACTCACTCTGTAGCCCAGGCTGGCCTCAAACTCAGAGATCCACCTGCCTCTGCCTCCTGAGTGCTGGGATTAAAGGCATGCGCCACCATGCCCACCTTTTTTAAACTCCTCACAGCAACTCTACGGTAGTGATGCCTTTGTTTTACAAATGGGGAGAGTGAGGCCTACACCGCCAGAGATGGGTCCAAGGTCACATGACAATGAAGGGGAGTTGAAAACCAACCCAGGTGTCACACTCCAAAGCCACTAATCCACACTCTTCCTATTGATTTCTGTCTAAGTTCCGGGGGCTAATCCCTTCAGTGCTCTACCTACAGCTTGCTCAGACCCAGCTCCCCGGGTCTAGAGGTCTCCTGTTACTTACCATAGGAGCAGCTGTTGAAGGTTCCCTAGGAGGGAAAGAGCGAGGAAGAAAACAACCCTGATTGCGGCTTCTCACGCTGCTGCATCCCGGCCCTCACCCTGGCGGCACTTACCTCCCTGGCACTGCCCATTGGCATCAGGCTCTGGCTGTCCCATAATAGAAAAGACCTCATCTTGCAGAGAGTGAGTGACGCGGAGAAGCCCCTCCTGGAAGGCAGCATAGAGGGGGGCCCCCACTGTGCGTAGCAAGCCACCCCAAAGAGCCTCCTCAGAGCCCAGGTCTCCTGTTGGGGTAAGCAAGCCCAACAGACCCTGCAAAAAGTGAGGCGCTGGCTCTCTCCCATCAAGGCCTGTGGCATTGGTGGGGTCCGCACTGGGCTGCAGCTGCACCAGGGCCTGCCAGCGTGTACCCTCTAATAACAACGTCAGAGAAGGCAGCCAGTCAGCAGCCAGGACACAGTCAGAGGGCCCATCACGAGTGCAGGGGGGCCTTGTGGGAGCAGGGGGGCCTCCAGGAACTAAAGCTCCCAACAGCGCCTCTACAAGTCCACCCAGTACACCTGCCTGGTGCGCCAAAAAGTCCCGGGGAGTCTGCTCCTGGCCCAGGAGCGCCAGCACGTCTCCCAGAAGCCCTAGCATTGGCTCCCAGTCTGGGCTACCTCTCAGTGCCACGAGGAAATCATGGAGTCGAAGCGCAGGGGGCTGGAGAGGTGGGGGCTCTCCCACTGGTCCCTCCCCCATCCTCCCAAGCTCAAAAGAAGAAGAAATGTTGGCCAAGAATGCAGAGAACCGTGACTGGCTGAGGGAACGCTGAGGCGCTTGGTCCAGAGCGGAGATGAATGACTTCAGGAGGGAGAGAGCAGGATCCGAAGACTGAGGCCCAGGAGGGACCAAAGTCACTATAAGAGAGATGAGAAATCACTAAGGGAGAAAAGACTAAAGCCCAAAGTAGCTCTTCCCCTCTTTACTTCTGAAGATAAAGTGAAATGAGCCAGGCATGAGCCTACAGCAGTGTTTCTCAACCCGTGGGTCGTGACCCCCTTCGCAAAGGTTGCCTAAGACCATCGGAAAACATAGATATTTACACTATGATTCATAACTGTAGCAAAATTATAGTTATGAAGTCACAATGAAAGTAATTTAATGGTAGGGGGGGTCACCCCAACAGGAGGAACTGTATTAAAGGGTCGCCGGGTTAGGAAGGTTGAGAACCGCTGCTCTACAGTAAGTCTTGGCCCTGTTTCCTGAACCCTTAGTGTGGCACCAATCTCTGCCTTCTTCCTTGTCGCTTCAGCCTTTATCTAACTGGTTAACCTCCACACTATTCCTTGTAGACTTTTTTTTTTCCCCCAAGACAGGGTTTCTCTGTGTAGCTTTGGAGCCTGTCCTGGAACTCTCTCTGTAGTCCCGGCTGGCCTCGAACTCACAGAGATCCGCCTGCCTCTGCCTCCCGAGTACTGGGATTAAAGGCGTGCGCCACCACCCACCCCAGCTACTTATAGACAAGGATTCTCTATGTAATCCAGGCTGGACTCAATCTCAATCCTCTGCCTCAGAGCGCTGGGCTAACAGACACAAGCTACCATATTCAGCTAACCTACACTCTCGTGTCTTATTAAAGGTAAAGGTGGGGCCGGTGAGATGCCTCAGTGGGTAAAGGCATCTGTTGCCAAGCCTGGCGACCTGAGTTCAAACCCCAAAACCCACCTGGTGAAGGAGAGATTCAAATCCTGCTGTTGTCCTTACCTCCTCCTGTGTGCCATGGTGCCTTGTGTGTGCACACAGAGTTTTAAAAAGAGGGGAAAGTTCTCTGTCTGTCTGTCTGTCTGTCTCTCTCTCTCTCTCTCTCACACACACACACACACACACACACACACACACACACACACACACGGGCGCTCGCACACGCCCACGAGTTTTTAAAAGATGGGAAAGGTTATTCTCCTTCATCCCCAGCCTACTCCATGTTCTCACCTTTGTGTGAGACCAGCAATAGCAGCAGTAGCAGCAGCAGCCGGAGCCAGCGGCTCAGAGCCATGTTTCCAGGCACACCCTGGTCCTAGAGGCGAGTGCTGGTTATTCTCACCTTGAAGGAATAGCCCGGTGAGGACAGGGCATTGTAGGCAGCCTGGGGCTCCTCTGACACGGTAGTATGGTCTCTCGGGAAACAATATCTGTAACCTGACATCATGTTTGTCACCGGAGCCACTGAATACCCGATCCTTTGGCTTTGGGAGAAGGGTGTACTTCTTTTAGAGGGACCAATGAGAGGGAACTTCGGGGCCCTCAGAGTATCAGCCAAGGAGATAGAATGAGTTAGGAACCAGAGAGAGGTAGGCACACATGGGAACAGGAGACTGGAAATGCAACCTGGGGGTCTGCAGAAAAAATGTAAAATGCAGAAAAATACACACACAAAGGTATAAAAGGAGCTTGAGAGGCAAAGAAGATTTGAGGGATTTGAGAAAGGAAGTGGGCAGCCAGCGATGAGCAGAGAACAGATAGTGGTTAAGATACATTGGTTTCAAGGGTGGAACACTCAGGAAGAAGAGAGCAAGTACTTTAAACTCACTATCTAGAATCCCACAGTATTGGTGCTGAAGAAGCGGCTCAGCAGTTAAGGGTGTGTACTGCTTTTGCAGCAGACCTGAGTTTGGTTCCCAGCACCCATATTAGGTGGCTCACAGGTGATTATAACCCCAGCTCCAAGGGATTCTGATGTCTCTGACCTCTGGGGACAATTACACTCATGTGTCCATACCTACATGGAGACAAGACACACATACACTTAAAAATAAATCCTTAGAATCCCACAATATTAAGAGGTAGGCAGGACTTCACAAACCACGTAGGGAATTAATAGGTAAGGAAAGAGACCCAGAGAGCTGTGACTTGCTGGTTACACCATTCAAATATTGCAGTTTCTCTTTCTCTCTCAAATTTAAACTCCCTACCCATGGAATCCTGTTCATGGACTAGAAAGACTTCATTTGAAATAAGCTGGTCTAGTCAGGGTCTGGTCAGTTTTTCTTGTGTAAAAGTCCTAAGTTGCAGGGCTGGAGAGATGGCTCAGCAGTTAAGAGCACTGACTGCTCTCAGAGGACCCAAGGTTGATTCCCAGCACTACAGCAGCTCACACCATCTCTGATTCTAGTTCCAGCGGATCTGACCTCCTCTTTTGGCATCTGAGAGCACCAGGTATGCACATGGTACATACACATATATGCAGGCAAATTACACATACAAATTATTATATTTTATTTTTTGAGACAGTGTCTCTCTATGTAGCTCTGGTTGCCCTAGAACTCTCTATGTAGACTAGGCTGGCCTAGAACTCAGAGATCTGGCTGCCTCTGCCTCCCAGGTGCTGGGATTAAAGGCGCATGCCACTGCACTTGGCCATACATTTTTTTTTAATTTAAAAAACAAAATAAGCCGGGCGGTGGTGGCGCACGCCTTTAATCCCAGCACTCGGGAGGCAGAGCCAGGCGGATCTCTGTGAGTTCGAGGCCAGCCTGGACTACCAAGTGAGTTCCAGGAAAGGCGCAAAGCTACACAGAGAAACCCTGTCTCGAAAAACCAAAAAAAAAAAAAAAACAAAAAAAAAACAAAATAAAATCAGACCAAACTGTTGTGATGCACATCTTTAATCCTAGCACTTGGGAGGCAGAGGCAGGTGGATCTCTGAGTTTGAGGCCAGCCTGGTCTACAGAGTGAGTTCCAGGACAGCCTGGGCTACTCATAGAAATCCTGTCTCAAAGAAAAAAAAAAGGAAAAAAAAAACCTTCAAAATGTGTTGCGTTGGTATAGTAATTTAAATGTAATTGGCTCCTATAATCTCACAGGGAGTGGCACTATTAGGAGATGTGGTTTAGGAATGGGTGTGGCCTTGTTGGAGGGAGTGTGTCACTGTGGCAGACTTTGAGGTTTCCTGTGCTCAGGATACCACTCAGTATCTCAGTCTTCCTGTTGCCTGCAAGATGTAGGACTCTCAGGTACTATTACAGCACCAGGTCTGCCCGCATGCCGCCATGCTCCCCGTCATGATGATAATGGACTAAACCTCTGAAACTGTTAGCCAGCCTCAATTAAATATCTTCATTTATAAGAGTTGCTGTCGTCATGGTGTCTCTTCACAGCAATAAAAAACTCTAACTAAGACAGCTGGGAATGGTGGCACATGCCTTTAATCCCAGTGCTCAGGAGGCAGAGGCAGGATAATCTCTGTGAGTTTGAGTCCAGCCTGGTCTACATAGCAAGTTCCAGGCCAGCCAGGGTTATATAGTGAGACCATCTCAAAAAAACAAAACAAACATAAACATGCCCTATATTGTCCTTTTTAAAAAAAATATTTATTTTATGTTTATTGGTGTTTTCTGCATGTATGTCTGTGTGAGGGTGTCAGATCTTGGAGCTATAGACAGTTGTGAGCTGCCATGTGGGTGCCAGGAATTGAAGAACAGTCAGTGTTCTTAAGCACTGAGCCATCTCTCTAGCCCCCACATGCCCTGTATTGTAACCACAGCTGGAATCTGGGTTCTTTGCCTAGAAACTTCAGTGTAGGTTTTTAAAAAGATGATTCCTAATATGGAAACTTTGTGAACACACTTTATTTTCACAAGTTGAGGACCAAGTGGCTATAGGTCTTGGCAATAGCATGGAGGGGACTTGAAGTTTCCCAGGGTGGTAGTGCAGACCCTGGTCAAACATTGCAGTAGATAATACTTGCCAGCAGCAGTGTCTTAGCCACGGGAGCTGAGAAACCATTGTCTCTGGGGGCAAGGATGAGGTCGCCCTAGCGATGGTTCTGGATTGCTGCCTAAACCTCAGCAAGGCTGAGCTCTGCTAGTTTTTTCCAATTTGACACAAATGTAGATACACCTGTGAAGTGTGAGTGGGCTGAACCAGGTCTCTGCCAGCCAGTGTGAGTGGGCTGAACCAGGTCTCTGCCAGCCAGTGTGAGTGGGCTGAACCAGGTCTCTGCCAGCCAGTGTGAGTGGGCTGAACCGGGTCTCTGCCAGCCAGTGTGAATGGGCTGAACCGGGTCTCTGCCAGCCAGTGTGAGTGGGCTGAACTGGGTCTCTGCCAGCCAGTGTGAGTGGGCTGAACTGGGTCTCTGCCGGCCAGTGTGAGTGGGCTGAACCAGGTCTTCCAGCCAGTGTGAGTGGGCTGAACTGGGTCTGCTAGCCAGTGTGAGTGGGCTGAACCAGGTCTCTGCCAGCCAGTGTGAGTGGGCTGAACCAGGTCTCTGCCAGCCAGTGTGAGTCGGCTTCTGCAACAGCATGATCTTCAAAGGTGAAACTTTGAAGAATTCCTGCAGGAAAGTCAGTCATCTCAGCCTCCTTGGTGGGCAGGAAAAAGACAAGCCTTTTCCAGGAACCCAGAGTTGATCTTCAGAGAAAGACAGTCCAGCTTAGTTAGAGAATCACTCCTGTCTTCTGCTCTGCCTTCGTGAGCTCTAGAGCATTGGAGCCAGCCCTGAGCTCGACACTGTTTCTAGGCTATTAAACCTCAGCAGACACCATTGTTCACTTAGGCATCCATAAGTGAACCCCTGGGGCCACCAGGCCTTCCTGATGCCTAGTGTAATTTGCTCTTTGGTGTTTTACCAAAGAAGCGGCTCCATCTTTCTTTTCTGTGTCCCCACGGGTCTTTACTTGACTCTAGTTCTAAATTGCAATTTATAGTGAGGCTCGTCTCAAACCTTTCCCCTGTTCTTTCCCTAAAATCCTTTCCCATTCTCTTCCCCAAACCCACGGGCTGACAAGAGGGTTCAGTGGGTAAAATGTCTGCTGCTGAGACTAGTGACCTGCGTTCAATCCCCAGAATCTACACGATGGGAAGAGAGAACTAACTTCCACAAGTGTTCTCTACTGCTGCTCACGTGCACGCGTGCGAGTGCACGCGCACACGCACGCACGCACACAGAGAGAGAGAGAGAGAAATAAAACAAGGGGTTTTGTTTGTTTGTTTTTGTTTTAAGTCCTACAACTACTGCACAAGATTGGACTTGTCAACACTCTGTCATGGAAAAGGGAGGAGTCTTGAAGATTTATATACAGTTAATGGTTGATGAGGGAAGAAGAGATATTTTCTACCGTGCATAAGGTTCTGTAAACACACCTTCACCTATGATCTGATAAATGACACTGATGAAACTCAACAACCACAAAATGTAACAACCACCACAAAAGACATGAAGTAGGGGGGACTAGTTGGGAAGAAGAAAGAGATTAATAGGAATGTGTGTGTGTGTCAGTGATGGTAACAGAGGGTATGACTGAAATATATTAGGTACATGTATGAGAGTGTTAAAATGAATCCTATTATTACATATAATTAATATGCTAATAAAACAATTTGTATAAAACTTTTTATAGACAGGGAAATTGAGGCCCAAGGAAATGAAATGAGCTAGTTCATGCCACCAAAGAGTTGCATATTTCCAAAGCCTGTTAAAAGTTGGGAAGTTAAATCATCTAATGCATCATTTGCCAATATTTTCCCCTCTGCCCACCAAGGGTTCCTCATCTAGTCTGAAGAGCAGAAGACAATCAGAAGATGGTCTGGGTTGCCCAAAGTCGCTGCTGGGTTCAGCCCACCCTGCAATTCTCCTGGATTTCTGCCTTTGATTCTGTAACCATTTAAAATACGTGTATTCTCCCCTTTTCCATGTACAGGATAGCAAAAACTAAGATGGCTGAAGTTTAACTCCTGTTTGCAGATTTACTAACTCTGTGTCCTGGGAAGTTTCTAACCCATGTCTACGACTACTCATAGATGCGCATTCTGCCAGGCACAGCTGTGCATGTCTGCAATCCCAGACTTGGAGGCGGAAGCAGAGCCTGAAGCAGTGTCTCAATTGAAAGACCTTTAGAACAAATAGTCACCTCATGGTATTCCAGAATCCCCAAGGGTTCCAAAATATGTCTATGCTAAGTATTTACTTTTTATACATATCCTCCTGTATATGTATATAAATCATGTCTTGATTATCTATAATACCCAAAACAAAGTAAAAGTTATACAAATAGTTCTTATATTGTCTGTTGTGGAATAATTACCCAAAAAAAGTCTATATATATTCAGTACAGATGCAATTAAAAGATTTTGGGAGATAACACACTGTCGTTCCGGAGACCCCAAGTTTGCTTCCCAACATCCATGCCAAGAAGCTTACAATTACCTGTAACTCCAGCTCTGGGGAATCTGACACAGCCATCTTCTGGCCTCTGAATGCATCCAGATACATATGTATAGACACACATAAATACATACATAAATAAATAATTTTAAAACTTTTTCAACTCTTGGTTGGTTGAATATGAAGATATGAAATTCATGAATACAATGGGCTGGCTGTATAAAGTATGTTGCACAGTTATGGATGGGAATGAGGCCTCACCTACTATGTGACAAAACTTTTCCTACGGAGAGGCAATACACACATCTACTCAACCCAGACTGGTAACCCATAAAAGACCAAAACACAGATTCTGTAAGGTGAAAGGTCTGAGCCCACTTCCAGGTGAAAAAACTTACCAAAACTCACTAATCCCTGAACACAAAATCCCACCAATCCCTGGGCTCACTTCAAGCTTAGGACTTGAAATCTTACCAATCTTCACCAGGAAATCTCTACCCTGGAAAGCTTCCCCTACTCCTAAATCCCATATAAGCCTCCCTCCTGCTTCTGTCTGATCAGGCCACAAAATCCCTCCAATTTTCAGGTCAATTCCTGGAAACCGCCACCACGACCCCTTACAAAGCCTGCCTCCTGTTCAATTCCTTGCTGCTTCTCACTGGAGCAGAGGCAGCCACCCTCTTGTGTCTCTCCCAATAAACCTCTTGTGTGAGGTTTGTTGTGCAGTGTGACTTTGTGGTATTCCTTAGCTCTCGGCTGTCAGGATGCCTTTCCCTTCAGAGCTGTGACACCTGCTTCAGGAAAACCTTCCCCCTCAGAGCTGTATGTAACACTTCCATTGAAGCAACCTTCCCTTCATAGCTGTGAACCCTGCTTCAGGAAAACCTTTCCCCTCAGAGCTATAACACTTTCAGATACCACCAAAGTCCAACTTGGTTAACCAATCAGTTTTATTAGGGATATTTTTTTTTATTTATTTATTATGTACACAGTGTTCTGCCTGCATGTATGCTTGCAGGCCAGAAGAGGGCACCAGTTCTCATTACGGATGGTTGTGAGCCACCATGTGGTTGCTGGGAATTGAACTCAGGACCTCTGGAAGAACAGCCAGTGCTCTTAACCTCTGAGCCACCTCTCCAGCCCTTATTAGGGATATTTAAAGGAATATGGGTGAGGGGTTACTTTACAGGGGCAGAAATGACTCAAAGAGAAGTGCATCACCAAAGCCCACCCTGGCATGGTTGACAGTTCACAAAGATGGGAACCTGGT